ATCCAAAGCTGACATATTTCATACATTGTTCTTTTGCTTTTCCTCTCCTTTTTTTTCTCTTTAACTTAAGAGTATATCTTTGAGGTAAATACATAGAAATTCTACACATTGCATTGTAATGAATATGTGGTATTCCATTCTTTAGATAGACCATAGTCTTTTCAGCCAGTCACTTACTGTGAGACAACTTGAGCTGTTTCTAATTTTTTGCTATTACAAACAGTGCTGAGTGAATAACCTATTATATATTCTGGGATAAAAGTGGGACTGCTGGATAAAAAGGTAAATACATTTGTGTTTCTTTGTATTTTGGGGTGGTTTTTGTTTTTGTTTTTGTTTTTGTGACCCAGGCTGGAATGCAGTAGCATGTTCATGGCTCACTTCAGCCTTGACCTCCTGGATTCAAGTGATCCTCCCCTCAGCCTCCCAAGTAGTGGGGACCATAGGCATGCCCACCGTGCCTGGCTAATGTTTAAAAATTTTTTGTAGTTATAGGGTCTCACTTTGTTGCCCAGCCTGGTCTCAAACTGCTGGGCTCAAGCAGTCCTTCCACCTCAGCCTCCCAGAGTTTTGGAATTACAGGCATGAGCCACTGTGCCTGGCCCTGAGTTTTTTCTTTATTTTTCTTTATTTATTTATTTTTTGAGACAGGGTTTCATTTTGTCACCCAGGCTTGGAGTACAGTGATGAAAACATGGCTCACTGCTACCTCAGCCTCCCGGGCTTAATCAGTTCTTCCACTTCAGCCTTCCAGGTAGCTGGAACTACAGGCACAGTTCAGCAGGCCTGGCTAATTTTTGAATTTTTGTATTTTTTGTGGAGACAGGGTTTCACCATGTTGCCCTGGCTGGTCTCCAACTCCGGAGCTCAAGAAATCCTCCTATCTTGGCCCCACAAAGTGCTGGGATTACAGGCATGAGCCACCTTGCCCAGCTCTGAGCTTTTCTTATATTTATAAAAATGTGAAATATATATATATATGTGTATATATATATATGGCAGAGTATCGCATGTACAGTTTAAAGAATACTAATCAAATGATACTTATGTACCTACCACCCAATTTAATAACTAGAATATTTGTACTGTTGACATTGACATGTGCCTTGCTTTTCTTTTCTTTTTTTTTTTGAGATGGGGTCTACTCTGTCGCCTAGGCTGGAGTGCAGTGGTGCTATCTCGGCTCACTGCAAGCTCCGCTTCCCAGGTTCATGCCATTCTCCTGCCTCAGCCACCCAAGTAGCTAGGACTACAGGTGTCCGCCACCATGCCCCGCTACTTTTTTGTATTTCCTAGTAGAGACAGGGTTTCATCATGTTAGCCAGGATGGTCTTGATCTCCTGACTTCGTGATCCGCCTGCCTCGGCCTCCCAAAGTGCTGGGATTACAGGCATGAGCCACCGCGCCCGGCTGCCTTGCTTTTCTTTATAGATTTACCACCTACCTAAATACAGTTTCAAAATATGAGTAGCAAGCAAAACTAGCTATGTAAGGAAAGGGTAGTAGTGCTGGGAATCTTAGTATTTAGCCTTAGTATTTATGTTGGTCACTTAATATTCCTGATTTCCTTAAAGTACCTATATGTCCTCCAACTATGCTTGGCATTCCCTCATCCACACTCCTCCAGGATACAACCTTCAGATTTTGCTTGGGGGTGGGGGCTAGGGGTGGGTGCTGTGGTAGAACTAGTTGCCCATGGCTTAGACCTGTGGAGAGCCAACTGCCTCTCTTACAGCTTTCCCCTGATTTGGGGGAACTCACCTTTACCTCTGGTCCCAGTGCCTTTTGAGGATTTTGCGTTGCATATCAACTTAGGCTTTTTCTTTCCCTAAGTCTGTAAGCAATTGCTGCTTACTCTCCAGGTTCCGGAGATGTGTTGCTGTTGTCTCCTTACCATTTCTTTCCAGCATTATAGGTTTACATGTTTCAAAAGTCCTTTTGTGCTGCTTAATTTTTTTTTTTGAGACAGAATCTCACTCTGTCGCCCAGGCTGGAGTGCAGTGGTGCCATCTTGGCTCACTGCACACTCTGCCTCCTGGGTTCAAGCAATTCTCCTGCCTCAGCCTCCTGAGTTGCTGGGATTACGGGAACACGCCACCATGCCTGGCCAATTTTTTGTATTTTTGGTAGAGATGGAATTTCAGCATGTTGCCCAGGCTGGTGTTGAACTCCTGGCCTCAAGTGATCCGCTCTCCTTGGGTTCCCAAAGTGCTGGGATTACAGGTATGAGCCACTGTGCCCGGCCTTGTGCTGATGATTTTACTTGAGGTTCTGGAGGAAGTAAAATTAACATCTGTGTGTTCAGACTGCTGTCTTAACCAGGAACTCACTGCTCTCTTCATGAAACACTGTCACTTAGTCCTTGGTGTTTGGGATATCAAACAGAATTCCATTTTGGATATTGATTGTTTCCACCTCAGCCTCAAATGCTCATTCTCCAGATTTTTACACAGCTGGCTCCTTCTGATTGCCTTTAAAAAAATTTGAATTTATGTATTTATGTTTTTGAGACAGGATCTTGCTTTATTACCCAGGCTGAAGTGCAGTGGTGTGATCTTGGCTCACTCCAGCCTTGACCTCCCAGGCTCAAGTGATCTTTCTACCTCAGCCTCCTGAGTAGCTTAGACTAGAGGTGTGTACCACCAAGCCCAGCTAATTTTTGTATTTTTTTTGTAGAGAGAGGGTTTCATAGTTGGCCAGGCTGGTCTTGAACTCCTGGGCTCAGGTTAACCACCTGCCTTGGCCTACCAAAAGGCTGAGATTATAGGCGTGAGCCACTGGTCTTTTTTTTTTTTTTTTAATTTCTTTTATCATTGCTTTAGTTTTCACGAGCTTTTTTGTTTGTTTTGTTGTTTTTCTTAATTATTTTAAAAGTCTTATTTTTATTCCATGGGTACCACAGTCTCTCTTATATCTTTAAGGATAGTAATTACAAAGCCTTTTTCCTTAAGTTTTTAGTCTGTCCCCCTCCCCACCCCCTCTTTCTGCACTAATTTTGTTTCCTCTGAATTCCTTTCTGTTTATCTTGAAACTTGCCTTTCATATTGGAGGTTTTTCTCAAGTGTTTGGTGGTCCTTGGTACGTTATGAGTGAAGTATTTAAAAGTTGGTTGTAGGACATGTGTGGTGGCTCATGTCTGTAATCCCAGCACTTTGGGAGGCCAAGGCGGGTGGATCACCTGAGGTTGGGAGTTCCAGACCAGCCTGGCCAACATGGTAAAACCCCATCTCTACTAAAAATATAAAAATCAGCTGGATATGGTGGTGCACTCCTGTTATCTCAGCTGCTCAGGAGGCCAAGGCAGGAGAATCACTTGAACCTGGGAGGCAGAGGTTGCAGTGGGCTGAGGTCGCGAGACTGCGTCTCAATAAATAAATAAAGCTGATTGGATGTACAGGAGTATCAAAACAGTACTGTTTGTAATGACTCCAAACTGGAAACAACCTAGTTGTGCATCAACAGGAGAATGAATAAACAGATGGTGGTATAGTCATACAATGAAATACTATTTACTATTTAGGAGTGAGAATGAATAAACTACAGCTACATTGCAACAATGTGGATGACTTTCACAAACAAAATGTTGAATGAAAGAAGCCAGACACAGAAGGGTGCACACCGCAGGCTCCTGTTGAAAGTTGAAAAGCTGGCAAAACTAACCCGTGACGTTAGAAGTCAGGATATTGGTTCCCTTTAAGGGTAGATTAGTGGTTAGTGACTGGAAGGGAGCACAAGGGGCCTTCTGGGATGCTGATAATGTTCAGTTCCTCAAGCTGGGGCCCTGGTTATGCAAGCGTGTTCACTGTGTGTCATTCCATTGAACTACATACTAGATTTGTGTGCTTTTTGGTGTGTACACTTCAAATGAAAGTTTATATGAAGTAAAAGAGGAAAAAGGTAGTGGAATCTCTTTGTGGGCAGGGTTGGTTTATTGACTGGTACCACAGCATGTGGTCAGACATCCAAGCGACACTCTTTTGTTGGGGACCCTTGAATGTCAGTGTCTGAAGATGGGACATGGGTGTTTTTGTTCTTTCTGCTATGTTTAACTGGAAGTCTTTAGGTTTTCTTTTAAACCTCTTTTATTGAGAAGACAAAGTGTTTTTTTTTTTTTTTTTTTTTTTTTAGTAGAGATGGGGTTTCATTGTGTTAGCCAGGATGGTCTCGATCTCCTGACCTCGTGATCCGCCCGTCTCGGCCTCCCAAAGTGCTGGGATTACAGGCTTGAGCCACCGCGCCCGGCCTTTTTTTTTTTTTTTTTTTTTGAGACGGAGTCTCGCTCTGTCGCCCAGGCTGGAGTGCTGTGGCCGGATCTCAGCTCACTGCAAGCTCCGCCTCCCGGGTTTACGCCATTCTCCTGCCTCAGCCTCCGAGTAGCTGGGATTACAGGCGCCCGCCACCTCGCCCGGCTAGTTTTTTTGTATTTTTTAGTAGAGACGGGGTTTCACCGGGTTAGCCAGGATGGTCTCGATCTCCTGACCTTGTGATCCACCCGTCTCGGCCTCCCAAAGTGCTGGGATTACAGGCTTGAGCCACCGCGCGCGGCCGACAAAGTGTTTTTTAAATTAGATTTGAAAGATACCCAAGATGAGGTAGTGCATCTTCTTTGAGAAACACATTAGTAGAATTGGAATTTCTGTTCATTCACTCATTCATTCAGCGAATACTTAAAAGTCAAGTTGAACAGGGTTTATGTCCTCTTGGAGTATATAAAGCACAGCAGAAATTACCAACATTAAATATAAGTGGGATGAGTTATGGAGCGGAAATAGAGACTGCCATGCAAGCCTAGGATAGAAGAACATAGGGTAGTCTTCAGGGGCAGAGAAGACTTCCCCAAGGAAATGATGTTTTCGTTAGGTGAAGAATGGAAGAATAGGGGAAAATTCACTTTTTCTTAATGAAAATGTCTTGGTGTGAAAGCTTGTATTGATGAAAGTGTCTCATCTTGATGTGAAAACCTTTATTCCTGTCTGATCACCCTGTTAATGTGATTTCAGGTGGAGAGTATAGTGAAGATGATGTAAATGAATTAGTGAAGGAAGATGAAGTGGATGGTGAAGAGCAGACACAGAAAACCCAAGGGAAAAAAAGAAAGGCCCAGAGCATTCCAGCCAGGTGATGCTGCCCTCAAGGCCCTTAGAAGTTAGGGGCTATTGTCACAACCATCCTGATTGCTAAGATTTATCTGATGATAGATTTAATGAAGCCAGAGTTTCTAATCCTTTTCTCTTTGAGGGAAACATTTGCTGTTATTTTAGGATTAACTTCTTGGTCTCTGGAAAGCTTTAAACATTTTGAGCTTTAATGTAAAAAACATGTTTATAGGTAATATGTATATATGGTTAAAACAGAAAATTCAGTCCCTAAAAAGATGTTTACCCTGTTCCTAGCCCTTGTTGCTTTGCCTCTGAAGAACTGTGCTACCAGAGATAGTCTGCATGTAAAAGCATATATGTCTATATTTTCTTTCTTCCTTTTTTTTAAGAAAAAAATATAAATAGTAGCATACTCATTTTCTCATTTTCATTTCTCTTTATTTCACATCTCAGAGATGGTACCATGGCAGTATCTCCTCTTTTACATGGTATTACAGTATATGAATAGGCCTTACTTTATTTAGGCTTTCCTGTATTGAGGGATGTTTAGATTGTATCTAGTCTTTACTACAACAAACAAGACTGCAGTGAATATTCTTTTTATACATGTATACAAAGTATACATAAATACATAAATGTATATAATGTATACATGTATAAATATATCTGTAAATGAAACATTTAGAAGTGGAATTGTTTGATCTAAGGTTATATATGCAATTAAATTTAAAAAATACAGATTTAGCAAATTGCCTCACATAGGCCTGGTATGGGCTTATGTTCCCATGAAAATTATGAAAATTCTGACAGGCTATTTAACTTAGATAAGGGCATCTTCCATAGAAGTCTTTTACCTCACTTGGGTGTTTCTGTCTTCCTGGGCATTGAGGCAAAAAGCAGATTATCATTTATGAAAAGGAAAAAAGAATTGTAGATATTAGATGGATTTGCCTAAAGTCAAAATAGTCTAAGAAGCAATGTACTCTTATAAGTCTTGGGCCCAGTTTTTTTGTTCTTGAATTTTTTTTTTTTTTTTTTAGACAGAGTCTCGCTCTGTTGCCCAGGGTGGAGTGCAGTGGTGTGATCTCTGTTCACTGCAGCCTCCGCCTCCTGGGTTCAATTCCCTGCCTCAGCCGCTGAGTAGCTGGGTTTATAGGCACCCACCAACACGTCTGGCTAATTTTTGTATTTTTAGCAGAGACGGAGTTTCACCATGTTGGCCAGGCTGGTCTTGAAGTGCTGACCTTGTCTCATCTTGATGTGATGAAAGTTTATATGAAGAAAAAGAGAAAAAAGGTAGTGGAATATCTGTGTGGGCCTTGGCCTCCCAGAGTGCTGGGATTACAGGCCTGAGCCACCTCGCCTGGCCTGTCCTTGAATTTTTCTGTATTCCAGCTCTCATGTCTTCCGAAAGTGGGAAGAAACATGGATTTTTTTCTTTTTCCTTGAGAACTCTTGGAAGAAATAGTGCAAATAAAGTTGAGGCTCTTCTCAATAGAACTTGTTCTACAAATGGAGTAGCTTTAAAAAGTCAACAATGTCTGGCACATAAAGTATGTTCTTAGAATGTTCCTCCCGGGCAGATTAATTATGTGATTAGGTGATTTGGATGTTTTCGTTGTGAAAACAGCTGGTCCTGATTTAGAAGGAGAACGCCATACTTTGATTTTAAGTGACTGGAGAAAAGTTAGCAATAAGAGCTCAGTTCTTTTTTTTTTTTTTCCAATTTTTTTTTTTTTCTTCTACAAAATTTCAGCTTACTTCTTCCACTCACCTCTTGTACTCATTAATCAGTAGTCCCAGAATTTAAAATGTTCTCGGGTTTACAAGATTGTGTTTGGGATTGGGAGAGGGATAACTGAAATCATTTTGTGCTGTCTGTCTTTCCTTTTGCCTGTGGCTGCTGGTGATTAGGAAGAGAAAACAAGGTGGCCTCTCATTAGAAGAAGAGGAAGAGGAGGATGCCAATTCAGAATCTGAGGGAAGCAGTAGTGAGGAAGAAGATGAAGCTGCAGAGCAGGAAAAAGGCATTGGATCAGAGGATGCAAGGAAAAAGAAGGAAGACGAACTGTGGGCCAGCTTCCTCAATGATGTGGGACCAAAATCAAAAGTGCCCCCAAGTACACAAGTTAAGGTAAGTTGAGAGATTAATAAGGTGAATGCCTCTCCAGAAATACCCTACATTACTGACATTTGAAGCCTACGGAAATCGACCAGATGCCTTTTGTTAACAATTGTACTAAGTGAAAAGCAAAGCATTTCCTATGGTAGGAGAATAAGCTTCTCTAATCATATAAATTTCCAATAGGCCTTTAACTAATTAGAGATGAAACATTTAAGAGTAGCTATAGGCTGAGTGCAGTGGCACACACCAACAATCCCAGCACTTTGGGAGGCTGAGGCAGGTGGATCATTTGAGGTCAGGAGTTTGAGACCAGCCTGGTCGACATGGCGAAACCCTGTCTCTACTAAAAATACAAAAATTAGTTGGGTGTGGTGGCGGTTGCCTATAATCCCAGCTACTTTGGACGCTGAGGCAAGGAGAATCGCTTTAACCTGGGAGGTGGGAAGGTTGCAGTGAGCCAAGATTGTGTTACTGCGCTCCAGCTTGGGCAACAGAGTGACACACTGTCTCAAAGAAAAAAAATAATAAAAAGTAGCTATAAACAATATGGTTCATCTTTTGGTGAAACTGATTACGTTTCTTGTTTTTTTTTGTAGAAAGGAGAGGAGACTGAAGAGACAAGTTCAAGTAAATTGTTGGTAAAAGCAGAAGAGTTAGAGAAACCTAAAGAAACAGAAAAAGTTAAAATCACCAAGGTGTTTGATTTTGCTGGTGAAGAAGTACGGTAAGTTTCGCAAACTTTGAAACTAGTGTGAGCATCTCTCTCTAACTGGTGTTAGCCATCTATCCTCATTTCAATCCATCATAATATTTTGGGAGAGTTATATTTGAACTCAAGGAAAACTGGCTCTATAAATTATCAGGGAGCATGAGAAAGGTCCTTTCACATATAGCAGTGTAGTTTTTGAGCTTTACGAAGTGGTCAGCTGAACAGAAGCAAGGGAATATAAGAGTTAAGTATTTTGTTCCACTTGATCATTGCCGTGTTTTGTGACTTTTGGTAAGTCATGTTTCCCTTTATTACTTTCCTTGACTGCAATCTGAGCCCCATTGAAGTCTGAAATCAGATAAGAAAATGCAAGGAGACAAATTTGGTTTCAGTATTATTTTCTTTTTCTGAAACGGAGTCTTGCTCTGTAGCCCAGGCTAGAATGCAGTGGCATGATCTCGGCTCACTGCAATCTCCACCTCCCGTATCCCATTTCAAGCAATTCTCCTGCCTCAGCCTCCCGAGTAGCTGGGATTACAGGCACACGCCACTATACCCAGCTCATTTTTTTGTAGTTGTTTTGTTTTGTTTTGTTTTTGTTTTTGTGTTTTTTTAGATGGAGTTTCACTTCTGTTGCCCAGGCTGGAATGCAGGGTGCGATCTCAGCTCATTGCAATCTCCACCTCCCAGGTTCAAGCAGTTCTCATTCCTCAGCCTCTCGAGTACCTGGGATTGCAGGCGTGTGCCACCATGCCCAGCTAATTTTTGTGTTTTTAGTAGAGATGGGGTTTCGCCATGTTGGCCAGGCTGGTCTTGAACCCCTGACCTCAGGTGATCCACCTGCCTCGGCCTCCCGAAGTGCTAGGATTACAGGCATGAGCTGCCACGCCTGGCCTTGTTTTTTTTTTTTTTTTTTTTTTTTTTTTGAGACAGAGTCTTGCTCCGTCACCCAAGCTGGAGTGCAGTGGTGCAATCTTGGCTCGTGGTGCGATCTTGGCTCACTGCAAGCTCCACCTCCCGGGTTCACGCCATTCTCCTGCCTCAGCCTCCCGAGTAGCTGGGACTACAGGTGCTTGCCACCGTGCCCTGCTAATTTTTTAATATTTTTAGTAGAGACGGGGTTTCACTGTGTTAGGATGATTTTGGATCTCCTGACCGAGGCCCGCCTTGGCCTCCCAAAGTGCTGGGATTACAGGCGTGAGCCACAGTGCCTGGCCATTTGTTTATAGTTTTAGTAGAGACGGGGTTTCACCATGTTGGCCAGGCTGGTCTTGAACTCCTGACCTCGTAATCCACCTGCCTCGGCCTCACGAAGTGCTGAGATTATAGGCGTGAGCCACCGTGCCCTGCCTCAATATTATTTTCTTACCTTAATGATATTTTTCTGATTGAGTAATAAGGTTTATTTACCATAGGTTAAGTAGGGGCTTAATGCCTTGACCAGGTTAGCCTCCTGGTTGTTAGGTAAGAGCCACATACCTCTAATTTCCCCTCCCCCATTTATTTCAATTTTATTATGTGAAAATAGCAGATTTGTAATTTAGAACTAAATGAGAACAGAGAAAGTGCCAATCAATAAATTTATAGGCGGTCACATTGATTTTCATTGGCAGTAATTAATTAGACCTGTAGGCTCTCTGAAAATACAATTTTCCCTAAAATTGTTATTCTTAAAAATAATGTTTTCAACAATTATTTATCTAGTGAAGGTATATTTATGAAAAAATTGACTATCAGTTTTTTTGTTTTGTGTTTTTGTTTTTGTTTGAGAAAGGGTCTTGCTGTGTTGCCTAGGCTGTTCTTGGACACCTGGGCTCAAGCGATCCTCCAGCCTCAGCCTCTTAAGTAACTGGGACTTCAGGGTTGAACTACTCTCCCTGGCCATTATCACTTTTATAAATGGTATGGAACAAAACTTTTTATTATTAAAAATTTCTCTCTGACATCTTCTTCTGAAAAAAAGTCACACTTATAGAAATGTTGCAAGAATAGTGTTATAACGAACTCCTACATACCTATCATCCGGATTCACCACTGGTTAATGTATTGCCTCTCTCTCACCATTTGTATCTGGGTTTTTCTTTTGTTTTGGCTGAACCATTTGAAATTTACTTGTAGACATTGTGACACCTCAGCCTTTAATACTTCAGCACATGTCTTCTACAACCAAGGGCATTCTCCATTGTAACACAGTATAACTCTCATATTCAGTAAAGTTAACATTAGAGCAGATTGCTATCTATGATGAAGGACCCCAACTTAAAATTTTCAATCTATTGCAGACCAGTACTTTTCTAAAAACACAATACAAAGGAATTATTAGAAGAACAAATATAAAAGTTAACTAATGTTTTACTAAGATTCAGCAGTTACCCTACTACCTGTCTTTGTGGCCATGGGGCTCAGGCTGCAGCACCACAGCACTGTGTGCGTATAACTGGGGCCACCTGCCCCCTCCAAGTGTGGGCCTTTTAACCTCTGTCGACAGGTGTGGGGGGAAAAAAGGATTTAATAGACATAACATTACATTTCAATGCATGTGGTCAAAACAAACCGCAGACAGGAAAAAGGAAAGAATTATGTAACTATACAGGCTGTTCATTGAAAGTGTTAATATACGGGGAATGACTGTTACCTTTTATTCTGTTATTAAGACAAAAAGCTGGCCTGGCATGGTGGCTCATGCCTATAATCCCAGCACTTTGGGAGGCCAAGGTGGGTGGATCGCTTGAGGTCAGGAGTTCGAGACCAGCCTGAGCAACATGGTGAAACCCCATCTCTACTAAAAATACAAAAATTAGCCAGGTGTGGTGGTGCACATTTGTAATCCCAGCTACTTGGGAGGCTGAGGCAGGAGAATCACTTGAATCCGGTAGGCAGAGGTTGCAGTAAGCCGAGATCGCACCACTGCACTCCAGCCTGGGCAACAGAGCGAGACTGTCTCAAAACAAAAAAACAAAAAGCTGAGTAAAATATCAATTCTCAGTATTAAATGTCAGACACACACTTTGAATGAGCACTATTTTGTTTTTATTATTATTATTTTTTTGAGATAGAGTCTTGATCTGTCACCCAGGCTAGAGTACAGTGGCATGATCTCGACTATCTGCAACCTCCGCCTCCCCAGTTCAAGTGATTCTCTTGCTTCAGCCTCCCGAGTGGCTGGGATTACAGGTGCCTTCCACCATGCCTGGCTAATTTTTGTGTTTTTGGTAGAGATGGGGTTTCACCGAGTTGACCAGGCTCATCTTGAAATCTTGACCTTATGACCCACCCTCCTCAGCCTCCCAAAGTGCTGGAATTACAGGCGTTAGCCACTGCACCCGGCCCACTGTTTATATTAATATTTAAAGTTTTAATTGTGATGAAAGACCTTATTTCTTTCTTGTTAATCTAAGTTGTATTGATGACTCTGCTCCTCCTGGTGGATAATTTATATGTAAATTATTTCTTTGTTGGTTTTCTCCTTCCTGCCTTCTGTCCACCATTCCATCTTTCACACAATTTTTTTTTAACGTGGGATCTGCCAGGGTGTAACACAGAGATATTTTCATGGGATCAGAAGTATACATTTTAAAGCAGTTTCATTTAGTTCAGAGTTTTCGTTTTTTGCCTTTATCCAGAATGAATCTGGATAAAAGTAAAAAATGTACTGTGTTTCGTTTCCTTTCCTTCCTTTCCTTCCCGTCCTTCCTTCCCTCCTTCCCTCCCTCCCTCCCTCCTTCCCTCCCTTCCTTCCTTCCTTCCTTCAGACTCCCTCCCTCCCTTCCTTTCTTTCTTTTTTTTTTTTTTTTTTGAGACAGAGTCTCTGTTTGTCACCCAAGCTGGAGTGCAGTGACACAGTCTCAGCTTGCTACAGCCTCAACCTTCAGGACTCAAGTCATTCTCCCACCTCAGCCTCCCGAGTGGGTGAGACTACAGGCACATACCACCATGCTTGGCTAATTTTTGTATTTTCTGTAGAGATGGGTTTCACCATTTTGCCTAGGCTGGTCTCGAACTTCTGGGCTGAAGTGATCCTTCTGCCTTCGCCTCCCGAAGTGCTGGGATTGCAGGTGTGAGCCACTGCACCCTGCCTGTGATACTGTGTTTTCAAAGTTTATATTAAATGCTTCATTAGTAGCCATTTTCAATAATTTATCCCGTCAAGTTATAATTAAATTTAAGTTATATTTTAGTGAAAGAAAAAAGGAATTCTGGAAGCCCGAATTTCCTATACATGAATTTTTTTTTTTTTTGAGACAGGGTCTTGCTCTGTCGTTCACGCTAGCCTCAACCAACTACAAGGCTCAATTGATTTCCCCCGACCTCAGCCTCCTGAGTAACTGGGGCTACAGGTATATGCCACCCGTGCCCATCTAACTTTTTTTTTTTTTTTTTTGAGACGGAGTCTTGCTCTGTGCCCCAGGCTGGAGTGTAGTGGCGCGATCTCGGCTCACTGCAAGCTCCGCCCTGCCGGATTCACGCATTTCTCCTGCCTCAGCCTCCCAAGTAGCTGGGACTACAGGCGCCCGCCACCTCGCCCGGCTAATTTTCTTGTATTTTTAGTAGAGACGGGGTTTCACCGTGTTAGCCAGGATGGTCTCGATCTCCTGACCTCGTGATCCGCCCGTCTCAGCCTCCCAAAGTGCTGGGATTACAGGCTTGAGCCACCGCGCCTGGCCTCCATCTAACTTTTATTTTTTTTTATTTTATTTTATTTTTTTTTTTTTTGAGACGGAGTCTCGCTGTGTCTCCCAGGCTGGAGTGCAGTGGCGTGATCTCGGCTCACTGCAAGCTCCGCCTCCCGGGTTCACGCCATTCTCCCGCCTCAGCCTCCCAAGTAGCTGAGACTACAGGCGCCCGCCACCACGCCCGGCTAGTTTTTTGTATTTTTAGTAGAGACGGGGTTTCACTATGTTAGCCAGGATAGTCTCGATCTCCTGACCTCGTGATCCACCCGCCTCGGCCTCCCAAAGTGCTGGGATTACAGGCTTGAGCCACCGCGCCCGGCCTCCATCTAACTTTTAAAATTG